TATTCCAAATGCATTTGTTGAAGAAATACATTTACCATTGCGAAATTCTCTCTGAAATTGATCGCTTCAAAAATGTTGACTGTTTTTTTCTAATTTATCTATTACGAAAGTTAAATAACTGTATATTCTGCTTTATAACTATGCGTATCACTTACCTTACAAATTTTGTTCCGAATTCGAAATTCTCCAAGTAATCTGGCAGTTCTTTTTTAAACAAATTCGAGTATGACGACTGAAAATAACTTCCAAAAAATTTTTTAAAATTGTCATTATATTTTTGGAATTAAAAATGCCCATCAATATTCACCTATTGTAAGATGAAGTTGAAGAAAAATTTTGATCAATAAAAATAGGGATGGACGAGTTTTCGAAAATTTTACGAAACATGTTTCTTTGTATACTGCTTTGGGATTTTGCGAGGATATATGTAGGAATGCTACGCCTATGCTACGCTCACATCCCCATGCTTATATTTGTTATCGCTTAACTTTTGTTACCACTAGAAGTGTCGCTCCATCTCTGCCTTTTGGAGGCGGAGCTGGCATTAGGGGGCGGAGCTGGCATCAAGAGGGCGGAGCTGGCATCAAGGGGGCGGAGCTGCCTCAAAAAGTATTTTCAACTTTCCTAGGGCACTTCTAAACGTGAAACTTCTATATCACCACATCTTTAGCAATTGTACTCCCATTTTTGGCTCCTTGATATAAATAGTTTTAGTTAACAGTGCTTTCGACTTGTGAACAGGTTCGGTGATGAACGCGGTTAAGAGCTCAATTTTACCTGTAGTTCGCGATAGAGTCGTTTGAAATCTTTCAGCATTTCATGAGTGACCGTTTTGATGTCTCCTACGGTACATTCGTGCATATCGTGAACGAATTTTGACAGCCTTCTTTCGTTTTCCTGCGTAACGTCGTCGAAGAACAGCAGACTCAATGTCTGAAAAGGAAGAAATGGAGGTTATAAAACTGATAAAATTGAACTCGCAGAACTGATAAAAAACCAGATGGATTTTTGGGAACCTTTCGGAAATTCCATTTATTTCTTGAACCCTAGCCATATCCGAATATGCATTTGGTGGCAAAGAAGTAGCCTCCTTGCAGCTTAATAGCCAACCAGTAAAAAGGGCTCAAGCCTGCTTAACTCCGACTTTGCACTTCAAAGTGTTCCCAATTAAAGAATTGATAGAAAAGTGCCAAAGTTTTAAGACGTTATCAATTTTGTTTGAAAACTGCGGCCACGCATTCGACTTCCATTCAGAATCGTAGTGGCGTTTTGAATGCGTGTGTAGCCTATATAATGACCGGTGATCAGCCGAAGTACAAATCAGCGCTTTAATCCTCCCTGACGAGTATGATACCATTTAACCGACCTCGGGAGAATGGAAGCTTTGGTTGGCCCAGGCGAATATCGATCCGGTGTTTTTGGGAATTAAAGAACTGTAGAAAGTAATCGTAGGTGTCAGTGTCCAAGAAAAGCGTCGAAAAACGCTTACCCTGATGGCAGTGCCATTTTCCATGTAAGACTTGAATCTTGGCCACTGGTCCCTTTCCAAATCAATAATCGCTTTGTGAAGTGAATGTTCAAGATCATGGATAATCGGTTGATACCAATTCTGAAAAGGATCCTTTAGATTTCTCTAATCATACGGAGCTTTGATGACATTTTCTCTCCGCTGAATGTTTTATAGATACCTTCTAAGACTAATTTTCTCTCTATTGGCGAATTAAAAAATGAAATGAAAATTCGTAAAAACAAAGCATAATAATATGGTATAGAAAATAATAGTATAGAAATAGTTTAATATAGGAAATATTTAGGGCTAAAGGAATATCCGTAGATCTACTGATTTTCAAAAAATTTTAATGCAAGTTACATCGGAAAACTCGTCCTCAAAGAAATGGCGCATCCGTCTCGACTGCATCTTTTCA